CACGTGTCGGAAACGATACGCCCATTGCCATAGTTCCGTATTTTGAATGCTCAATATAAAATATAAACATCTATTATTTATCATCCTTGTGATTCAGTGGAGCCAGCTGGTCCAAATAAACAGGGTACTGAGCCATCTTTCAAGAGAAAGCGTTTAGTGAATCCTGCGTTGAACTCCCAGAGATTTTTTTTTTTAACTCCCCAAGATTAGAGAAGCAGTCGTCAGTAAAATGACGTGTTTGTTGGTGGGGTCAAGTTGTTCGCTGCCGGCCAACGTAGAACATAGGTGGGAATTATGCAAATGTGTTACCCCGTGACGTGTAGCAGCCACGGAAGTGGGATTCCAAATAATGACGACTCGTTTAGGCTGTAGAGAGTAGGAGCCAGCTGGTCCAAATAAACAGGGTACTGAGCCATCTTTCAAGAGAAAGCGTTTAGTGAATCCTGCGTTGAACTCCCAGAGATTTTTTTTTTTAACTCCCCAAGATTAGAGAAGCAGTCGTCAGTAAAATGACGTGTTTGTTGGTGGGGTCAAGTTGTTCGCTGCCGGCCAACGTAGAACATAGGTGGGAATTATGCAAATGTGTTACCCCGTGACGTGTAGCAGCCACGGAAGTGGGATTCCAAATAATGACGACTCGTTTAGGCTGTAGAGAGTAGATTCTTTATTTTGGGAGACAATAACTTTATTTATCATGCACTTTCAGCTTTACAACTTTGCTGATCGTTTACATTCACCTACAGCTACATTACACACTGCATGAAAGGCAATATTGGAAATGGCATAATAGGGGCACTTTAATAACATGTTTTTACTCCAAACTCTATTCATAACGTCAGTCGAATGTTTGAGATAAATCATTCTGTGAGATGATGTGGCTTCTTACACAGAATAAGGCACGCAACATATTTCATAGTATTCTAAGCAGTGATAAAGTCTATGTTGATTAGCACTGCATCATTATATACTTTATTATAATAAAAATTATAATAAGATGAACTCAGATAAACCATATATTGTCATAGTCGTGTTTATTAGTCACGTTGAATCAATGAAAGCAGTTAAATCTTCTGTTTATTCAGCAACCTGCTATAAGGATTTCCTTAAGTTCTTCTGCAGGGTGTATTTGGAGTTTACGCGTGAAGGCGCCCTTTAGCCATGGGATGGAGTTTTACTGCTGATCCCAGAACCGTGCTTCCTTGACAAGATGCGCATGACAATCGCAGCTTTTGCCAAATCGTGCAGCCCTACTTTTAATGACCTTAAATTTGATACAACTAAATACAAGACTTCTTAAGGATCCATGGGAATAGCCCGTCAGGCAGGGCGGTGATACATTTTGGTAGCCAGACTGCAATGTGATTAACACTCCAACATAGAAGGTGGCAGTGTTGCATATGGGTGTAACAATGTTCAAACCAAACTGAAAAACCGCGATACACCACCCACGATACGTATTGTGGTACTCTCAATACGTACCGCGGCCCGGTATAAAATAGCTTTTGTAACTTTAACAAGGATTGATCTTTAATTTACAAAGTGAAATATGCACTGTTATTTTACATTTGTTTACTTTAAAATTTCTGGGCCTGAAAAGTCTGCATTAAGTTATCTTTGTACAGTTATGATTACAAACTCACTCTTCTCCTCCATACACTTTTATTTTGAGTGTGATTCATTGGCCCCAAAAAAAGAGAAAACTAAATAAAAAGTTAAATATGAAATTAACAAAGCATTTTTTTAAGTTTCTATAGATATTGTGATAATTCTGTTATTGTGAATTATTTTGGCAACAATAATTATGTAAGGAATGATGTGATGTTGTGAAAACCCTACCTGCAATAATACATTCTTCTGGCCAAATTTAAGGGCAGCATTGCATTGCACGAGTAAATTCTCAATAAAAACAGCTTCTCAATCATTTAAAACTTAAAAGAGACTATTTTAAACATTTATTTTAAGCCAATTAAAGTATTGCGTCATTACTCTCACATCACCTGCATTGAAATCAATTTTTAGTCAAGTCTTCCATGACACTATTTGTATGACGCACGAGTCTCTGCCTATATAGAGCACTCCAGATCAATCACTTATGAGGTTCTGTTTCAGTTAGAATGCTGCCATAGAAGGCAGTGAGGCTGCTAAAATAGAGCTAGGATGTTGCGCAAACATTAAATTCAGAAACCGCTCAACTTTCTTCCTCCATACACTGCCTACGAAAACAGAATTTTTCTACTTTCGGACACAGCCATCTCCTGTCTCCAGCCCTCATTGTTTCACTTCCTTTCTTGCTTATTGTGAGTCCACACATCACAACAGCCCACTAAATAAACTCCTGGATGTCACTGTTACGCCTGCCAACCTCACAAATCACTCTAATCTTGCCCGCACAGTCTAGCCGCCACCTTCAACAACAAGTTCAGGCACTGCCAGCACAGATATCCGACGGTCTTACTCTTCACCATTAACCAGGACTAAAAATCATGCTTTTAATAAATGCACCAGTATGAATTTCCATGCTAACTGGTGTTTGTTCAAATCAATAAATGACGCTGAGTATTGCCACATTGTTAACACATTTAAGGCCCAAGATCAGATTTTACACTTCTGCCAACAACTCAGAGAGCGTAATGCCATTCAGGAGGATTTTGGCAGAGTCTGTTGATGGAACCCAGCACAGAGATGACAGGCGTATAAAGCTTTCTTAGGTAAGTGCCCTCATATGGTCTGAATTGCACCCCGACTTAAACGGCACAGGAACAGCATGACCAATGCGGCAGATTCGACCAGCACATGCCTGAAAGCGTTGCGCCACCGCAACGACAACAAGCCCACTAAAAAAAAAGCAGTAAATAGGCCCACAATGAGATGCCAAGGTGTGTTAAAGCTGAAGGGTCAGGAATGAGGGGCCTCCACCTCCAACCGACTATGTGAGGAAAGACACCTGCGCTTAGGGAACGGAAAAGGACACAGGAAAAGAAAAAGAAAGGATAGATGGATGGAGCAAGCGTGAAAGAATGGTTATGCAGCTTTTGTCATATGATATATATATATATATATATATAGCATATATATCATACCATTCAAAAGTTTGGGGTCATAATTTGTTTTTTGTTTTTTTTTGTTAGTTTTTTTGCTTATCTTATTTAATAAAAACTGTAAAAACAACAATGTTGTGAAATATTATTACAATTTAAAATAACTTTTCTATTATAATATACTTTAAAATGTAAATGTGCTGAACACAGCTGAATTTTAAGCAGCCATTATTTCAGTGTCACAGGATCCCTCAGAAATCTGTCTAAATATGCTAATTTGGTGATCATGAAACTTTTCTCATTATTATCAATGTTGAAAACATTTGTGCTGATTAACATTTACTTGAACTTTTTTTACATGATTCTGATTAATAGAAAGTTCAAAATAACAAAAAATATATTCATGTATAAATATATAATATTTTTATAAATATAAAGTATATTTTTTGTAAAATTACTTTTGATAATTTTAATGCATCCTTGCTGAATAAAATTCTATTGCATAGAATATATGACATACTGTACATATGCTATGTTATATCATTGCATATGAGTCTGGAAATTACATTAGTGCAAGTAAATGATGACAATTTTCCCACTTAGGTATAATTTGCACCAATAAAGAGCTCTCATCCTGAATCCCACCTGTCAGTGACCAAATACAGAGAGAATACAGTGGGGCTGAATACAAAGAGAACCGACGCAGCAGGACTGGGATGTAATTGTGGACAAAGAGGTTCTCCGTACAGTGAGAACATATTCAGCTCAATCAGAAAACCTCCATAATCACCGCAGCCACACAAGGCCTTTCAGAACACATCGCTTTCACAGCAATTAATCGCTGTCAAAACATTCATTAAGCAAACGATTCTAATCCAGTTGACCAGCATTCCAGCAGAGGACGGACAGGGGCTGGCAGAGTTCAGCCATGTGCACATGAGAGCATTATGTACGAGAGTGCAAGCAAGGGAAAAAAGCGAGAGAGAGCAGCTTGGCTCAGCTGGGCTTCTTCAGCAAAGCCAAAGAGCCTGAAGGGACGCAGCTATTATTTGTTCCTTCCCTCTCTGTGCCATGCCACTCATTAGGACGCTTAGTTGACCTCACCTGAGCCTAATGCGACAGCCTGGCATCAAAACTGCTGAAGCTTTCACGACTGTCAAACAATCCCTCCAGGAACAGCACAGTCAGAAAAGCACATTGTGAATCCAGTATAACAGCCTGATCTATTGAAATCTGCTTTTGTAGCTCTATAATAAGGAGATTAAAATCACATAATGAAAAATGAAGACATGACAAAGAAAAATGACACGACAGAGAAAAAAAATTAACAGATTATGACAATTCATAAATATATTTACATTTTATTTTAAATATATAAATCATAAAAACATATGTACATACATGATTGTCTAATTATCTTTTATTTATTTTCAATCATTTTTTTTATCTTGTCATTTTAATCTCCATAATACTACTAAAAAACTGTTTACACAGACAGTTTTGTTTTGAAACAATACATAACCACAAACACCACAATTTATTGAGATTTGCTTGTTTTAACTAAGCAATTCAAAACATAAAAGTATAAACATAAAACAGATAATACAATTAACCATGATTAATCCTTTTCAACTCTTTATTTATGAACATTTTTCCTTAAAAAAAACACATTGTTGCAGCTTGTCAACAGCGTCCTATCGGATTCCTTGAGATCATTGTTTTTAAAAGCTCACCGATTGTCATTCCGATTTCGGTTTTAATCAAAGCTTCTCATAATGCAAAAGCATCAATGATCCGGTCCTCTATATATCTGTATATCTGTATGTTTCTGTTTATTAACTTTACAGCGCCGGAATATGAAAGCACACCTGCAGTGAGAGTTATAGGCTACTTCCACTAGACACTTCACGCCATGTACGAAAACAATTTACCTGGCGTCTAAACAATTATTAATACACATACCTTCCTCTGCACTGCACTCCTCGTTTCTGTTGAGCAATAATATCCAAAGCACCGAAATGATTGCTTTAAACTGCTCCATATTTGAATGACCAGGTCTGCGAGGCTCTGGTCATGTCGCAACCGAGCACGCTTAACTCAAGATACGTGATGAGACGGAGCCGTCCGGGCTATTGACACACACAGCGGCACTATGTGCCTTACTTGGCGCCACGGATGGGCGGGCACAGACAGCCTGATTGACAGTGAGAATGTCCAATGGAATGTGAGTTCGCAGAGAAGGGGATTAGCGGCGGACCAATCAAATCACGCCTGATAAAGTTACTCCCCGTTGAATGGAGGCGGTGTTGAAAATGATTAAATTTGTTATCTTCAGCTCACATTACAAGCGGCAACTGATTACACTGCATGTATTTATTTTTATTATTAAATAAAAGGCAAAATGAGCTCTTAAGGTACTAGGACAATGGCGTCTGAGAGCTATAAGTGGTCCAGCTATAAGATTCCTTTCAAATTATTTTATATCTGAATATTGTGATATCCTGATATGAAGAGTTCATTTTAATGGTGTTATTGATATAAATATGATCTATTATTGTAAGATATCATATATATAGATAGATATTAAGATTAAGGTTAATTTTATTGTTACCCAAGAGAGAAATCTTTGATAAGCGAACTGCTGCAACACCAAACAATATTATAATGCTTGAAACTCGTAAATTAATATTTTTAATTAAAAAAAGTATTTTGTCAGCATATTTTAGCATTTTTAAGGTATGTTACAGTAAATGTTTAAAGGTGCAGACGCATTTACCGCTGCGGATGCCAATTCCAATCATTTCAACAGAAATCCATGCCATTGGTAACATGTTGAGCAACAGAAAGCTGCTTGGTTTGAAAGTGACTTCGGTGTGAGCTGTACTTGATAAATCGCTACACTGACAACAGTGAACAGTGAAAGCTCGCAAAATTTCTGACACCAAAAACACACCACTGTATGGGTCAGTATTGTCATGTCTGGCTCAATCTGGCAGTCAAACAGACTGCAATTCTGTTTATGTCAGTCACAGGAATTACACAATTCCGTTCTATGCTGACAGAGTACACCGTGGTGTATATACGTAATCAGAGACATACTGTATCATATAAATTCAGGAAATTGCTCACTGCAAACATTAACATCTCTTGCATCTTGCTGACACTCAAGCACAAAAGCTGCCACAAGACATGAGTTCCACTGTCTTCATTCCCATTGGTATTCGCTGCACATCTGTATAAAGTGAAACTTTTCTCAACTTTGTCACGTCGCTGGACATGCCAACATCTTGTCGCCTGTAGCTCATTTCGCCTGAAGTCACCAGCTCATTTTGAAAATTAAATGAGTTCACATTGAATAGGGAGACATTGTTGTTTTTAATTTGCATATTATAATACTGTTTAAAAATATCTTTATCACTTTCATTGTTTTTCTTTTTTAACTCAAAATAACAGTTCATTCGGCACAGAATCAATTTCATGTGTGCATTCGCACACACATGATTGCAGGGAAATGTGGGTGCTTGTGAAATTACACATCTGTATTACCGACCCACACCTACGCAAAACCCACACTCTGCATCTGTGTAACGGTGAAGCCTGCACCTATTGTTTATCACAGCATTACAATTTCATGCTAGGCTACCTCGAAGCACTCTGTACTGTAGCTCTGGCCCTTAAATAAAAAAATGAAAGGTGCAGAGAAGCAAAAAAAAAAACAGTCACTTGACCTTTTGTTCAGAGGTTATTTTCACACTCATTCGGGTAGAAAAAATAGGAAGGGAGAGAAAGAGGGAGGGAGGGGTGGAAGGAAGGTGGCTAAAGAAGCTATTAGGAGCAAGCGCAATTTTAATGTGACATGGGAGCTCGCGCACTGTAATATGTGTGTAATCACTCGACAATCTCAGGGGACGAACTCACACACACTCACCACTTACAGCCAGAAAGAATCAGGAGGGTTATTCCCAGTTGTGCTGTACTAAGTGTGTTTTATTCCCAAAAAAAAGGACATCTGGAATCAGTGAGCTGAGAAGGTGTTAATGTGGCACTGTAAGAGACACCGCACCAGGGAGAATGACTACAAACTCTTTTAAATGGACTGCTATAATTTCAACCCGTTGTTTGTCCCTGCTGTAAAGATGAGATAGGTTGTAAAGAGTCTCTATGTTTTGACATTTAAATGAGACGCAACCAAAAGGGCCTGGTCTGAGGCCGAGAAGGGAATTGTGGGTAATTATTAAATTTATTTTTAACCCATCTGTTCTGTAGAGCACTTTGATGTTCTCCATGTATAACCATGTTAGCTCACACTGGTATGCAAAGCTTCTTGGGTAAACTGACAAAATCACAGGAGGTTGACAGTCGTTGGCTAATGAGTATGGTTGTTCTAATTACCTGCAGAACCAAAGAGACATTTTGAAGGTCAATGTGTTGTAGCACACTGGGACTCAACAGGACCCGAAGCATCCCGATTCTGTATTTTTTTTTATGTGAAAGTGGATGTGCGGATATGAAAACAAAATAAATTAACAAGGGACTTGACAGGGACAGCCTTGAATTGGAGTCAGAAATATAATTTTGAGTTATGTGAACAATGGTTCCAATAATGATTTAAAAAAAAATACTTTTAAGGAATACATATACAACCAATTAGTGTCACTGTTTTACCATTGTAAACTGTGTTTATTTGATTCATTAAAATGAACCAACTCAGAGACATTCATTTGGGAATTCAGCTACACTGGTTACCCTGTATGTTTCTGATTTACTAAAAAGGTCAGGCTCAAATCATTCATTCGGGAGTCAGACTGCACTGGTAGCACTGTGTATTTGACTCACAAAAAAATAAATGTTCATTAGGACATTTGTTCTGTAAGCAAAACACATTTATCTGTTTCAAGCAGTAGATTCAGTAGAGATGTTTTGGTGGCATTAAAATTGTGGGAAATTCTGTCAAAAGACCTTTGTAGTTCCGTCTGCATCAGCTGAAGAATGGATGTGTGAAAACCAATGTTCGGTTCTTGTTCCTGTCCTATATATATATATATATATATATA